TAGTACGCGACACTTGTAGAGCCTTATTATCGCCGTCGTAAGTTATTATTATAGTAGTAGAGTAAGTCGCGACTTATAGCGAGTACCGCTTCGGTAGTTAGTAAAACCATTTTACGGATTTGTAAGCTTAGGCTACCGCTAAGCCGTAATAGTAACGGTAACGCGAGCCCGGAAGCCTTTATCTAAATTGCCGTTATTATGGAAGTAGCGAATGCCTATATCGTATAATCTACTTAAAGTGTAACCGTAGACTACATACGTTCTTACCTGTCACCTCGGTGTCTATGTCGGTCTCGGAAGGTAGTAGCGAGGCTGTCTTATAGCCCGGACTACCTTGCCTTAATTGTCGTGACCCCTATTTCAATACTGTCCCGTCCGCTTGGCGGTAAATAACCAGCTCAACACCTCCCTGCACTTGGCTTGCTCCATATGACCACGGAAATCGCCTCTGCACGCCCGCTCGTCCTCTCTGATGGCTCTGGCGGAAGGCCTTCCGGGCAATCTGGAGCCCTGCTCCGACGCCCCGTCCCGAGGCTCTGACACAACCGCGGGGCCTGATTAGCATCTCGTGAAGGATCGACGCCGCCGTGTGCACGATCTACAGGGGAAGGCGGTCAGCGTGTGCTGCAGATCATTGACTTCTGCATTACCCGTGGCTCTGCGTGGCTCGGCGCGGCTCTGCGCTGGCAACACGTGCGCGGCTGGCCCCAGACATGCCTGGTATCGAAAAGAGCTGGTCGTCTCGGGCGGTCTCTGGCGGCTGCTGTCTCGACGCGCTTCATCATGGCTTTCCATCAAGGCCGAGAGCATTGAGGCATGGACAAGACGACCAAGACTCTCATCGTCAGTGCGTAGAAAGGCACAAAGCCGTGAGGTCCGTGCGAGAGCCAAGTGAGTGAATTGGCTGGACTACCACTGGATCGACGATGGAGCAACCCACATTCCCACACCTGGCAGGAGCTCCGCTCTCCTCTCATCATGTTGCAGTTGCAGTTGCACCATCCTTCGTCAGGGATTGCTGGATGCCGCGGTATTCATGCTGTACGTGATGAGGCCTACATCGAGCTAGAGCGCACGACCAAGGACGGTATTGATCGCTCCAGCCTGCCGCCAGTGGCCATCAGGCAGGGGAGCTGCTCGTGCTGTCCAGTCAAGCAGGCTGACCGAATCGTGAGGCTCACCATGATATTTCCCTCTTCCGCCTGGTCCTTCCGGCCGGCCTCATGCGCTGAAAGGGCCTTTGTCTTTTCTCCGGCCGCCGTTCGCTGCGAACCCATGGCTCCTCAGGTCCCAGCTCTGGCGCAGAGTGATTCCAAATCTAGATTCCAGGGGCGACTCGGGATGTCGACCAAGAACCCGAGAGACAAGCGCGTATACGCTGCCATGAAGGTACTACCAGTATCGCACAGACCCGGGACCACACCTTCACCTTGCTGACGCTCTCCCGTAGCGAGAAGCTACAAAGGGAAGGAAACGTCTCATAGACCGCTATGATCCGTCTGTGTCCAGGCGCGCTCTTGAAAAGCTTCTTCTCATAATGTGCTAGGGACGCTACTATCAGCGAGACCGATATGCATGGAGAGATTCTGCGGATATATGAGCAAGCGAGCCCACAGACCAAGCCTACCTACGACCTTGGTCGCGACCAGGATGGAATCGAAGAGGAGAACTGGATCGTATGCGTGGTCACTCCCTGAAAATGGCCGAGTAACCACTGATCGTGCCATAGATAAGATGGATGCTCTGGCATGCATTCCGATATCGAGGTGAAAGGCCCACAGCATCATGATTGAACATCTTGACGCGACTGCTAACTTTTCAACCTTCGATCGTCTAGACCAACGCAACAACAGGATTCGTAACCAAGCGTCTTCAACTGTAGGTGATCTTGTTCGGGGTGACGATTCCGAGAATGGCTTTTCCAGTCCAAATTCCGTCTCGAAGGAAATGGGAGGCTCGGCAACTGCAGCAGGTAATGAGGGTACGGCGGCAAGACCAGAATCGCCCGAGTGCTGACATCTGCTTGTAGAATGCTTGACTGCTCCTCGAGATCGCTTCTACGATCCTGTTCGGGACTCGACATAGACTGCAGACGTTGGCGAGCATTCACTTGGTCTTGGCACCCACCTTTGTCAGCATCCATACCTTCAGCTGCTTCGTTCCACGTCCAGCAATTGCCAATACGATTTTTCAAAGCGCTTTCCGACCGCCGGTACTAGAGCAGAGTCTCATCTGGTATTCAATATGAGCGTCAGATGTCATCAACGCGAGACAGCAAAATGTCTCGAGCCTTACGCACACCACCGATGCCGACCATCACAATCACCCGCATCTGCTGCCCAGGTGGCTTGCATACGTGACAAACTGTCATCTAAAGATTGTTTAGCGCTCTTCCGTGACCCTCGCGACACTATGGGTGTGTCGTTGTACCAAGCTTCGCATGAACCCCTGAAAGCTTTGCAGCACAGCACTCCGCGAACCGACACCTTCATGTCGCCGTCCAAATACGTCTAGGCAATGTCGCCTTGTCAGTTGCTCCGACCGGAAGTTGTCCTCTTGTTCCCCTCTCTTACGCCGCTAGCGATCTGTCTCGATGGTCGTTGATGGGGATAGTCGTGAGGCAGTGATCTCGACAGTAACGAGGCTTCCATGCGTGCTGCCGCTCATCTATGGGGTACTACGCGCCTGTCAATCGGTACAAACGAGTCTCAATCGAGCGCGGTATGTCGAGGAGAGGTCGATCTTGAGCTGCCACCTGAAGTGAGGTCTGCTTGCAGCCGCCCAGGAAACCGGAAAATCGTCGTCCCATCTACTTGGCGCTTGTACGTTTTCAGCAGAACTCCAGCGCTCGGATTCCCGGACGTGTCCTGATGTCGATGAACTCATTGCATAGGTGCGAGAACTTGGAACTTGAGCAAACTCATATTTCAGATCGAGAGTGGGCCCCGAACAACGACCACCCAGTATAGGTTAGCACCCTTGTCCGATACGGGGACAACTCCGAACATAAGTAGCCTTTTCGACTGAGATGACGGACTTGTGATGTAGCTGGTCATCTCCGGCGTTGCTTGTATCGAGCGTCTGAGTACACATGTCACCGTCCTTTTTCCCCCACGTCCTCGCCACCCTTTCCCTTCCTCTATTCACCAGTCTCTCCAGCATCTAACATCGTCTACCTTACAGGAGGCGCGAGAGGATCTTTCTTTCCCTTCGTGCTCCTTGCGTCTCAGACCCTGCTCATCCACCTCCAACGAAAACGACTTCCGAGTCAACCCGCGGAACCCAGAGACGCGTGTAGATCCGTTCGCGCGGAATGAAGAGATACCTTGGGAAAGGCTTCATCGTGTCGGTTAAATCTGGTACTCCAAGAGCTTCGCTGTGTATCCATGTTCAGCATGATTGTCAGCAGGTGTCGCGATTTTCGGTGAGTCCGGTCTGGACCGATTCAGTCGGAATCCGTTGCATAGGATTCGGGCGAGGACTTCGTCTTCATCTTCGGCTTCGGCTTCTCTGGCTGCCCGAAGATTGACGACGTCGTCAGACTGCTGGTTCTCTATTTTTCACGAAAGGCTCCGAAGGATTCAAGCTTAAGGCCGAGTCCTGTGGAATGGACTATATCCCTATCGCACGTGCGGCCTAGGCGTCCATTCTTCTGAAGGGACGGGCTGCAAGATCAAGTATCCAACGAGGACTCTTCTCGGTCTCCCTTCACACAAAGTCTGTTCAAAGGCATGTTCTAGAAATGTGGTGGAAGTTCTCCACAGTGGCGATAGAGTTGTAAGATGCTGTAGCTTGGCCTTGATGGTGGAGCTTTGCTGCCAGCGTATGTATCTTTGATCAGATATGTTTCTTTTGCTTAAGCGTCATCAAAAGACTCTGCTGTCCGGGACTGCTTGGGGATTCTTAGAGAACTCCTATCTCCGTACAGACTGCCTCGCACTATTGCATTATACACAGGGTTCTTGAGGCTAGCTGGGTTCTTCCAAGAAGCCGCATCTGAACGCACGTGTTGATCCAGGGAGAGACCCGGAAGATCTTCATGCTTCGATCTGAGATGTTTCTGTTAAGTGAAAGTCGACACTCACTGTGTATGGCATATGTGGGGGGGGGGGGGATCCTCTCGAAGTCCGTGCGGCTAGCGCGAACCTTGCTCCTTGTGACATGTGTGGTACACTTCCAAGGTTCTCACAGTTAGCTAACCACACATCTCACTTGCTGTTCACTCTCCTCCTCGCTTTGCATCTTCTCGAAATTCCTCTCCCTGTCCTCACCACACGATCAATATCCGGCTAGAGAATCCGTTCGAGTACGCGCCGAATACCTTGTCCATCCGCGATCCCCGCGACAATACCGTCTGGTCATCTCCCTGTCGACGAACATGCTCGTGCGAGTTCTGAAGGCCATCATCCAGTTATAGTGCAACTTTGGCAGAATGCCGCAGAAATCGCATCTCCCCGGGCACCTCGATAGCCTCCGCACCAAGACCCGACCGCGTCACCAATTGCTCGTGCTGAAGTGTTATCCGAGATTGCCAAAGAACGCGACAGCCGACGTCAGACCCAACAGTTCCGAGCTGTCATACCTGATTTATTATTGTTCGTCGCGCCAGGAAAAGCTGCCCAAGGTCGGGATCTATCTTCAGAAGAGCATTGCGACCGATGTACATCGCTGGCAGAGCGCGCGAGTACACGTAACACTACAAATCTTGACGGCGTTCTTGGAACACAAGGAGATTGGAGGCCGTGCGAGCGGTTTCACCCTCTTCGCACCATATGTGAGTATCACACCCTATCTCAGCATGGGACGTGTGGGACTGACGCATGGAAGGTACTGCGCATAATTCGAGAGATAATCAACAACACCAACGATATTAGTCTTGTGGAGGCCACAACTAGCACTTGGGACGCCTTCTGTCAGCATCAGGACGTTGGGAGCTTGGCCGCCGATGCCGAGTATCGCGCGCTCTACGAAGAAATCGTTCGTCTCTATGCGGATCTCGCCCGGAATAGCTCGAAGAAACTGGGCGGGTCGACACAACTGGTCGCGCATCACGATGCCACCCGCCTTCGCAAGGCTGGAGTTGCTGCAATTAAGAGTATCTTCGTCCCGACCGAATTGGATCGCCAGTGGAACCGTGCTTTCGATTCCACGTTCGCGGCGGTCCTGAGTAATCTGCATCGCGACCTGCAAGCGAACGAAGAGCCGCAAGATTATGTAGAGCATCTTATTGCTCTCAACGCGAAAAATGAGCAAGAAGAAGAGCAAGTCAGTGCGGTCAATCGCAGACAAAGTATAGCCACAGTCCGTACATTTTCTGGCCTAGCCGATGAACAAGACCCGGACCCTAGAGCCGCCGAAGGCACTGCGCAAGATGCTGATCGTCTCGCGGAAGAAGAGGTTGGCCTCTTGGCCTTGGATTGCATCAAGACAGTCTTCTCTTCGCAAAACCGCGCACAGGCTCGAGGTGGCGCTGAGGCGTTCATGCGCTATGTCGCCGAAAAAGAACAACGCTACATTGCAACGAATAAACCCGTCACCATTGAACCCTGGGCCGCGGAGCTCTTCCGCCTAATAATATCTTGGACACCAGTACAGGTAAGAGATGACTGTTAAAGACATTGAGAGCACAGAGTCTAATTTATGCTAGGATCGATTCATCTTCATTGTCACGGCAGTAGAATTTCTAGTCCGATTTCCCATGGAAAGCTCTCAAAGCTTCAGGGTCGCCGCCGTCTATGCAAAGAGCATACTCGACGTCTTGCGCTCAGACTTAAATCTGATCGGGCTTTCAGTCATCGATATCCTGCTTGGTTTGATCCATATGACAGTACGGACCATCGCCATTGCACGCGCCAAAACGACCGATGCCCCAATCAACCGGATCACGACCGCGGCATCCAAGACTGGCGCAGCAGAGGAACTGATACCGTACTTCAAAGCGTGCATTGCCAACTTGGCCCGGCACGTCTATTATTCGGATCAAGTTACGGATCTGATATCGTTCATACTCCTGCGGGTCAAGCCGGATGCCGAGACGACAGCAACAGAACCTTCATCAGAGAGGGAGCGTCCAGCTACAATGACGGCAGCCACGAACCCCAAGGTATCAGCAAGTGACGTCGCATCTGCTGCCGGGCGACCGCACACTCAGGGCACGCCGACGAGTTCAACGGGGACATTCGCTACGGAAGATGGTCGCCAAATTGCCCTCGAGATCATAAAGGACATCATTGACATCGCCAAGTCGACGCAGCAATACTCTACCGGCTCCGTCGTGATAACGCGCAACCGCGTTCCCCTTGGTGTCTGGGAAGGGAGCCAGTGGCTCCTCCGCGATCCCTCCCACGACGTGCGCAGAGCCTACAAGACCGCCCTCCTCGAATGGGTGCGCTTCGAATCCGACGAAGGCGACGAAGCCCTCATCGACTTCGAAGCAGACGACTGTATCGAAAAACTTGCGGAGAAGAAGAAGCCCGCGGCGTCTTTGCACGGTAGTATCGGGCAGAGTCACCGGAGCGCACATCCGCAATTGTTGATGTTACCTACGAATGGAGCGGCAGGGGAGAGGAGGATGAGTTCGGGGAAGAATTCGAGTAACGGGACGGAGCCTGATGCTACGAAGCCGAGGGTGAGGGCGAGTGATTTGAAGGAGATCATTGATGGGAAGAGATTCGTGGCGCCGGTCAAGAGTGGTGGTGGAGAGGAGCAGCCGTTGGACGTCAAGGCCTTGTTGGCGACGATTAAGATTGATCCGTCGAGGAATCAGGGCCTGTCGATGGCGCCGCCTTATTAGTTGACGAGAGAGAGAGAAAGAATATGAAACAACAGAATGAAGGATCTGAACACCCCAAGTTCAACGTTTGTTCAAGTGGTTTCGTTTCATAACGGCGCTCTAATGCCTTGCCTCTTTCCATCAATCAATTGAAGCACCTGAGATTCGCCAAAAATTCGTTTGTAGATATTTACAAGATCTTGTCCTTCACATACAGATCCATGTACTCGTGTACTGGCATCTTGTAGAGCGTTGATGGGTCGTTGCCGAGGTCGACCAGTTTCTGCGAAGTGAGAAGTCAGCATACGTTTGAGAAACATGGGGGGAAATAAAAAAAGGACATACCTTGACGTGATCTGCCGAAAAGTGCGGCTCGATGTGCCTCTTGAACTTGGCCAAGATCTCCGGCTTGGCCTCTTCTCTCCTGAGTCTGTGGCCGAGAGGAGCCTCCACGACCTCCTCTTCCAGAACAGTGCCATCCTTGAGCTTCACGGTGAGAGCGTTGGAGATGGTGCGCTTCTCTGGGTCATGGTAGTCCTTGGTGAACTGTGGGTCTTCCTTGCAAGCAATGCGTTGCCTCAAGCTCTCGACGAGCGGGCTAGTGGCAGCCTCACCGCCGTCGGTGTAGTCGTCTGCAGTAAGTCTTCCGTACACAAGCATCACGGAGCACATGTACTGCACGCAATGGTCACGATCGGCGTAGTTGTCCATGGGCTTGAACTGCTTGTCAATGATACGGATGCAAGCCTCGTGAGTGCGGTTGGTGATCTCCTCAATGTCCTCTGCAGACTTGCCCAGCTTCTTCAGCTTGTGGTGGATGCGCTCGGCGGCCTCAATTGCGGTCTGCGAGTGGAACTCAGCTGGGTAAGAGACCTTGAAGAGGACGTTCTCCATCACATAGGTGCCATAGGGGCGCTGGAACTTGAACTTTTGGCCATTGAAGTTGACATCGTAGAAACCCCAGACGGGAGTGGAGAGGACGGTTGGAAGACCGCCCTCGCCCTTCAGGACCTTCAGAGACATATCCACGGCACGCTGGCAGGCGTCACCAGCAGCCCAGGACTTGCGGGACATGGTGTTGGGGGTGTGGCGATATGTACGCATGCTTTGGCCGTCGACCCAGGCTTGGGAGATGGCGGCCTTGGTCTGCTCCAGGTTGAGACCCAGCATTTGAGAGACGACGGCGGTGGAAGCAACCTTGACGTTTACAACGTGGTCCAAGCCGACCTTGTTGAAGCTGTTCTCCAGTGCCAAGCAACCCTGAATCTCGTGTGCCTTGACCATGCCCTCCAGCACATCATGGATGGTGAAGATCTTGCCGTTGTTGTAGGTATGGGTGCCCGACTTGTTGGTCCTGTTGATCCAGTCGGCCACGGCAAGGATGGCGCCCAGGTTGTCGGAGGGGTGACCCCACTCGGCAGCCAGCCAGCAGTCGTTGAAGTCGAGCCATCTGATCATGGCACCGATGTTGAAAGCACCGTCAATGGGGCTGAGGATGTATGGCGTACCGGGCACCCGAGTGCCATTGGGGACCTCTGTGCCGGGGACGATTGGTCCGAGGAGCTTGGTGCAAGTTGGGAACTCGAGGGCCTTGAGACCACAGCCAATGGTGTCAAGGAAGACGAAGCGAGCAGTGTCAATCTATGATCCATATTCAGCACAGGTGCTCTTCTCTACCACAAGCCTCGAGAGACGAATCTTACAGCCAGGTCGGAATTGATCTTGTAATTGTGAATGAAGTCGGCCATATCCGATATCTCTGGGTCGTAGGCGGGCATGCCCTTGGGCTGGAGAGCCGGCTGGCCAGACTTGGTCGTCATGCTTGCTGAGAAAGCTCGTGCGGGTTGGGATTGGGCGAGGGAAGATGGGCGGGAGTGGGCGAAGGAGGAGTGGGCGAAAGGAGCGTTGGCTAGAGGGGCAGCTCCGGTTCTGTCAGAGCATTAGAATGTCTCTTGTTGTGCATCCATTCAAGAAAGAAAGAAAGACGCCGAGTCGTTGGGGAGAAATTGTTTCGTGGAGCTGTCTGGACGTACCTTCGGCTTAGGCTTCTGGTCGAAGATCGGAGGACGCTTCGAGCAGCGATGGAGGACATTGACATTGCTGCAGGCGCCGTGGGACGTGTGGTGACTGTGATTCCTCCTCTACCGATTCAGAAGGAAGCGTATCATCAGGTGAGGTGAGGTGATGAGGAGGAGGAGGATGTCGGGTGTTTGTGGTACAGAAGAGAGAGTCGGTTCAAGCATCGACACACCGACCCGGCTCACAGACCGGCAACAGCTCTGCCCAGCTTGGCCTCGGCAATCCCAATGCAGCGCACTCACAGTGGGGGGCACAGCCGTGGGGAGAGGAATTCCCGTCGGGTAACATCTTCATCAACCACATCATCCATCTCATCAACAACAATAACGCTGCCGTCGCTATCAACAACAACAACATCCGTCTCCGACCACTGTGCGGCTTTGCTTTGACTCGACTTCATCCTCTCGCTCGGACAATCTCGCCCGCGGCATTGGACGAGGTATCTCTCAGCAATCGTCGACTCCCTCATCAGCGCTCCCTCTGCATTCAGCATCCAACGTCACTTCATTCGCATCGCTTGGAGCGGCTGCTACTGGATGTCCGGAAAGCCTTGCGTTTGCACGTGGGCAGCCGCGCAGAACTACGGCGTCAAGTTCTTGGCGACCAGGTCTTCGAGACAGAACCAAGACCGTTCATAAGCTGACCAAGTCGAACCACAGCCTCGAGGCGTCGAGAGGCGTCAACCGCAAGAGGACATCCGTTAGCGCGCAAGGAACATGCAACCAATGATGACGAGCTTCTCCGCCTACTGAACACTACCCTTGCCCGTAGCCTTGTCCTTCCACCTTCCACCTCCCATCCTGTACTCCATACTTCTCGTGACAGTCTCGCGAATCTATCACGACACCATGGATCTATCCGAAGATGGAATTCAACATCTGGTATCGGAGATCAAGGACCATCAATTGATCCACGGCTCGCTTCTTAAGCTCGTGAAATACGAAGAGCTTTCCACCGTGCCAGCGAGACCAGTGGGCGTGAGCATGGTCTCTACGCCATTCCCTCACCGAAGTTTCCAGGAAGCCTTCTCTCTTCAGCCAATCTTCAACGAACTGTACCTTCGGGCAGCAGGCAATGAAGTCTGGCTGTACTCGGTACTAGGTCCTCTACTGAAGCATGACGCTTTCTTTGCCTCTCTCTGGGACGTGTTTACCGCAGTCAAGAGAGCGGGCGTCGTGCAGCAAGTCTGCTGTGGAATTTTCCGATCAGATTACATGGATCACCATGGACCGACATACAAAGGCATCAAGCAAGTAGAAATGAACACGTTCTCCGTAGCCGGAGCAGCCCATGCAGACCGCGTGATCAAAATGCATCACCACTTGGACAGGATAGGCGCTCCCGGTCATGTAGGTTTGGGCGACTGGCGGCACGGCTACGGCTTTCCCCAAAATGTTCTCCACTGCAGCAGTCCGCTGACCATTGAAATACGAATAGTCCAGATATTCTAATAGCGAACGGCTACCAAATAGGACTTCCAACGTCCAGGCGATCGTAGAGTGCTTGACGGAAGCCCATCGGTTGCACGATGCAGAGAACCCGGCCAAATCGTGCGTTCTCATGGTAGTACAACCACGGAACTTCAACATTGCGGACGAGAGACCCATAGAGTATGGGCTGTGGGACGAAAATGTGCCTTGCTTTCGATGCGAGTGGCAGGCTGTCCTTGAATCAACTATCTTGACTGAAGAGCGTATACTTTTCTTCGATTCACCACACCGCAGGCGGATGGAAGTCAGTGTTATCTACTACCGCGCAGGCTACGAAGCTGAGGAATACGATGAGCTTGGCAAGCAGACAAGACTCCGGCTCGAACTCTCCAAAGCCATCAAGTGTCCTGATGTCTTGACACATTTGACGACTTTCAAAACTGTACAGCAGGCCCTCTGTTCTCAGGACGCAGTCAGACGCTTCCTCCCGGCCGAGCAGGCGGTACAAATTGCCAGGACCTTCATGGAGATGCATGTCCTGGACAATACAGCTGAAGGTGAAAGGGTACGCCAATGGATCGTCGACCCTGAGCATGCCCAAAATTACGTCCTGAAGCCGAACCTAGAAGGCGGTGGCCATAACGTTTTTGGCGAGGACATACCCGATTTCCTCTCTACTATCCCGAAAGGCGAATGGAATCGCTACACTGTGATGCGAATGATCCGGCAACCAGACTCAGAAGGACTTCTGATGATGCCTGCAGACTTGTATCAAGGTCCTGTCGTGAGTGAGCTGGGAATTCTTGGAACCTGCATTTGGAAACGAAAAGGTGACGAGGTTGAGGTGCTTCGAAACGCAGCGGCTGGATTCACGTTCAAGACGAAGCCGTCGGAAGTTCAGGAAATGTCTGTTGTGAAGGGATATGGTTGTTTTGACTGTCCGCTGTTGTATGATCCGTAGCAGTGCAATGTGGCTGATACTGCCTCAGGCATCAGGTCCGAGACAAGCAATGCCAATTGCTTGGGGATGCAGGCAGTCAAACTCTCTCACTTCTACAGTGTGAAAGTGCCTTTAGCGGCCACATTCGAGTACTGCGCACAACAAATACCACGGCACTGTCACCTTTCTGTGTTTGGCGAAGGCAACCTAAAGTGTCTCGGCCTTGCGTCACAGCCTACCAGACGGTCCGCGCGTCATCGTTCGCTTGGGATCCTGAACGCGATAGGACAGCTTACCAGGAAACGTGGCGGAGCGGTATCCCGCCCACTCAAAGACGAGTGAATCCAGGCCTGCCCAACAAGAAAACTGCTGCGAATGCTGACGGTGGTCGTCCGCATGATGAATGACGTCGCCAACACGCGAGCAAAGGATAGCTTCGATCATAAGAAGCGTGTGTAAGTTTGGAATTCGACTTCGTTTTCCCTCACTCTCATTCAAGACATCAACTCTTCTAGCCCTTTGCACTCTTCAGAGCTCTTTACACAGTTCACCCAGCGACTATGGATACCAAGGAAGGCGTACCATCAGCTATGCCAGCAGGACCAACAGAGCAGAATCCACCACTGCCGCCAAGACACGAGCAACAAGGTGAACTTCCTGCCTACAATCCCCAGGACTATGCGAACCAGCCAATTGGCACCACCCAACAATTCGATCAGCCAGTGCGCCTGAGCCTGGAGCAAGATGATGTCAACTCGCCAATTCATTTCGCTCGCGACCCAAAGAAGCTCATCGGGTACTTGGTGCCATTTCCCAAGCCGCAACTACACAATGTCCCGGCCGAAAGGATCCCTTCGCGCTTTCTAATCTATACACCCCCACCGCCTCCGATTGCGAGCAACTGGACACCAAAAGAGGGGGAGAAGGAGGGAAAGATGCACAAGGTCCAACGTAAATGGGAGCAAGAGTTAAGAGAAGCCAAGACAGGGAACGCCAAAACTATGAGCTGGAAGGGATTCAAGGGCAAGGCTACGAAAGGTATCAATTGGGGCATGTCTCAGACCAAGACTTCAAATCTAGATTTCTTAAATCGCATTGGTGGTGGTAGCCAGGACGACGACAAGCATGCAGAGGATGGACAACATGAAGGGGAGGAAACGAAGAAGACCGTGCAGTTGGAAGAAATGTTGCTGATCTATCCCGCTTCCTGGAACGATAGCCCGGAGCATATTCGGGAGGAATTTGTGAACACGATGCTGCGTTCCAAGTCAAAGGCTGAGAGGGATGCGATCATCGCTACTGGACTGTTACCCGTGAGCCTCGCGATTGACATGCTTGCAGTCCTAATCTGGCCATTCGGAGGACTACTCGAAGTCGACGCCGTATGGCTGTATGCCAGCATTCGCGGTGCGAAAACCAGCAGGAGTGTGACCAAGCGATTGAGTTCAACTTCGAAGAGCAATGACCACGATAAGGACAAGTTGGCATTGAACTTCAGGCCTTCTCCTCGCCTGCAGGTGCTGGAGCGATATCTCGCTGCTAAATGTCACGAAAAGGACCCGAAGATGTTTCCGGCGTACTCTACTGCTCCTAGCGAGACGGAAGTCCTTGAGGCAATTGGGTGGACGCCAACCGAGAAGGGTGGGGCAGAGAGGAATTGGGAGGATGAGCAGTGGGAGATTACGGAGGTCAAGGACGATCTCGCGAGCGTGTTCAAGAAGGGGGCGAGGGAGTGGGACAAGTGGCTCAAGGAATTCGAGAAGAATCCTGAGAAGGCTATGAAGCATTGATGACGAGGATCTTCGAATATCTTGAGAAAAGACGCGAATCGGTAGCGACGAAGTGTTGTCCATAGATCAGGCAAAACAGCAGGAGCTTATTATGATGAAAGTCCTTCTCACATGCACATATGCCTTAGTAATCCATATCGGCAGAATCTCGGTCCCCGTTCGACTTCGTCATGTCTGTATTGGGACACCTTCCTTCCACATCATTCTGTCTCTCACTTTCTACACGCGCCACTCTGGCAATCTCGCACTCGCTGAACACGATATTGGATTATCAAGCAGATCATCTGCTCGCACCAGGATTGGAATCTCGCCAACTAGAAACAGGCAAAGATGGCTCCGCTCAACATCAAAGCGAAGCACGCGGGCAAGACATACGATCTCGAGATCGACACCGACTCAAATGGCGAAGAGCTCAAGATGCAGCTATACTCACTCACGAACGGTATCGAGATATATTCGAAGAGCTGTTGGAAACAAATTGCTGATGGGAGACAACAGTTGAGCCCGAGAACCAAAAGGTTTTGGCGAAGAAGATGATCAAGGACGATACGCCGCTCTCCTCACTCGGACTCAAAGAAGGCATGACGATTACGGTAATTGGCAATCCAGCGGCGAAAGTAGTGTTCGATGTACCGAAAGAGAAGATGAAATTCGCAGAGGACATGACGGAGGCAGAACTGGCGCAGCAAGAGGGAGCAACACCTGCTGGTCTGCAGAACATGGGCAACACCTGTTACGCCAACGCGACACTGCAGACTCTGAGGGCTGTTCCTGAGCTGCTGGAGGAACTGAAGAGCTACAAGCCTGGAGCACCCAGCGCGGGTCCTTCCTCTTCGCTCTTCACCCCAGACCAGCTTGCTCAGCACGGTATCGGTGGTCTGGGAGGCGGTGGGGATCTCACTTCGGCACTCGGGGATTTGTACAAGCAGATGAGTGAGACCCAGCACGGCTTCCCGCCTCTCATGTTCCTCACGACTCTACGACAGAAGTTTCCTCAATTTGCCGAGCGAGCAAAGAATGGCCACGGATACGCACAGCAGGACGCCGAGGAAGTCTGGTCACAGCTCATCTCAACGATGAGCCAGACGCTAAAGATCAAAGCAGAAGAGCAGAATGAGCTGGGGTTCAGGAATTGGATCGACAAGTACATGGGCGGGAAGTTCGAGGTCACCACGACCTGCGATGAAGCTCCCGACGAAGAGGCAGTCGTTAACAGCGAAGACTTCAACGACCTCAAGTGCAACATCCAAAGTGATACGAACCATCTCCGAGAAGGTATCAGCATTGCGCTGAACGAGAAGATCGAGAAGAACTCGCCATCTCTGGGCCGTCAGGCGGTCTACACTCGCCAGTCACGCATCTCGCGTTTGCCCAAGTACCTTCCGGTGCACTTTGTCCGTTTCTTCTGGCGCAGAGACACGGGGAAGAAGGCGAAGATTCTGCGGAAAGTGACCTTCCAGCATGAGATCGATGTGCTTGAGTTCTGCAGTGCGGACCTGAGGAAGAAGCTCATCCCCATCCGGGACAAGATTCGCGAAGTGAGGAAGGAAGAAGAAGACGTGGAACGTGCCAAGAAGCGTCAGAAGCGCATGCAGAAGGAGGCAGAGGAGAATGGCGATAGCAATGTTCGGTCGGATGAGCCTCTCCAGAAGAAGAAGGAGAAAGAGAAAGAGCGGGGGACCACAGCAACCGGGCCAGCTTCTGAGGCCGAATTGAGCGCAGAAAAGAAGGCTGCTGGCGCTAGTGAAGATATCCCGATGGGCGGTACCGAAGAAAAGTTCAAGACGGACGAAGAGATCGAAGCTGAGAAGGCGGCTTCCATCTTGGCTGCCAAAAAGGAACTCCTGTCGCTGGTGCACGAGGATTTGAAGAAGGACTCTGCGGCGAATCAGACCGGACTCTACGAGCTCCGTGGTGTCGTGACCCACCAAGGCTCATCGGCCGACTCTGGCCATTACACGGCGTATGTGAAGAAGGCGGCTGCTCCAGGCAAGACCGAAGACGGTAATTGGTGGTGGTTCAACGACGATAAAGTTCAAGAGGTCGAGAGTGAGAAGATCGAGATGCTCGCCGGCGGTGGAGAGACCCACAGCGCGCTGATCCTCCTGTACAAGGCAGTGGAGCTGCCCAAGGTTGACGAGAAGGCATGAATGCGGATGTATTGACGAAGCGAGGCGTATGGCAGGGCGGAAAAGAGCGAGTGCGACTATCAGAGATTAGTTGCAGTAAGAAATACATGGAACAATATTCGAAGTGCCTGTGAAAAGAAGAGTGGACCGGAAGCCAAGAATAGAGTTTCGCATGTGAAAGTCAAGCTCTGGGCTGCAAGCGAGCCAGCTTGCCGGGAGCCGAGAGCGATCTCAGACGACCTGGAGACGGGACGAAATGGAAGCTTCAGCTCCTTCCCTCTCCGACGCGACTTCAATAATACACCACCCTTCCCGTCCACCTCCATCGAACCCATCTACTGTCATTCTTTTCCAGTTCCGCATTGATGTGCACACGCTCCTCGTCCGCTCTCTTCTAACACTCCCTATTCTCTCAATCACCACCGCAGACGCAATACTCACACCATGTTCTACAGCACGGAGGGTAGGCGAGACCTTCCTGACGCGTCAGAGCGCGTGTACTGACCCCGTCTGCAGTGCTCACTTCCCGCAAGTATGGCGTTGCAACTGTCTGGTAAGCCTTCTCCTGCTCTGGCCCTACGTCTGCACTGGTTATGAGACGTGGCAATGCTGATCAGATTACCTGCAGGCTCGTCGCTACGCTCGGGTCGAAATCAAGTCTCAAGAGGATCTCCCGCAAGGCCATTCTAGACGTGGACGTTTCCAAAGCATGCGAGACTATCGTCGAGCCTGACGCCCCGATGGCGCTGCGGCTCCAGAGCAACTTGCTGTACGTCCTCAGCTACTCGTCCCAGACGACTCATGGGGTCACTGACGCGCTACTAGTTACGGCGTCACGCGCGTCTATTCGCAACAGTGCGGGTACGTGCTGGCGGATGCTGAGACCGCCCGTAACAGCATACGTGCCATCTTCAAAGTGATGCAGCAAGCTGCTCTCGAGCCCGAGGGTCGTACCAAGGGAAAGCAAGTTGATACACTCACACCCCCTATCCTCCGCGCATTGCTAACGCTCATGTTCAGGTCCGACCAGCTCATGCTGCAAGACGACCCGAACTTCCTACCCGGTCTGGACTTCATGCCGCTCGATCTTGACAACCTGAATCATGTCAGCTCGGGCGCTCTGGAAGAGACGCAAGAGACCCTCTCGCCCCACAGCTCCCGCACGCACAGCTCACAGCATAGTTTCGGTGGCCTGGACCTTCCGGCTTCCCAGAGCTCCCTCATCGGCGGCCCTGTCGGTGGACTGGACCTGCTCAGCGCCCGAGATGGTTCTGCACGCGGTGGGAAGTCGGGACCTGCTCAGCTCCTGGACGATGACCTTGGTCTCACGATCGATGACGATGGAAATATCCATATGGACGACCATCCAGTGCGACAGCCACGTGCTCCATCTGACAGGGTCGACCCTATTGGTGCTGTCTGCAGCGGGGGACTGAGTGATCAGTTCGGTGAACCCTTCGTAGGCTCAATCTCCTAAACTCCCTCTCCTGTACTCTGACTGACCTCAATGCAGCTTGGTCCAGCAGACGACGACGGCTTCATGCCGATACAAAACGACTTTGACGTTCGCATGACAGATGGCTCCACGGGACAGCAAGACCGCATGCAGTCAGACCTCCAGCCCCAGACCACTTCTGAGACTGCCTCAGCCCAAGCACAGCGCCGTCAGCCACGCGCAAAGAAAGCCATGCCACTGGACCGCGTTACGAGCCTTCGCAATTCCGACCTGGTGGCGTGGCAAAGGAACTATCTCGCCAACATGCGCGACGCCATGGAGCACAAGCAGGCACTCAGACTGGCTACTCTGGCCAAGAAGAACGCTGAACATTGGGTTTTGGGCGCCAGCATCGCGTTGGGTCAGGGCCTGTCAGGTCCACTCAACATATTCTCTGGTGCGAGAATCATTGAAGCTTTTACCGGAGTCGACCTACTTGAGCGCGGCCACAAGCGCCAGAGAGATGATCCAGATTCCTCCGACAGCGGTCGTCGCGTCCGACCCCGTGGCGAGCCCTCTTCAGACGAGCTCACTCGCGGCATCGATGGAGACTTCTTTCAGCAAGACGACGGGTTTGCTCCGATCCTGAACGACGACACGCTGGAGCAGGGCAGAGAAGCCCCGACACCTCTCGACGACCGCCATGTCTCTAGCATTTTCCCCTGGAACCAATCCGCAGGCTCTCGTCCACCCACCGACGCTGGCCACCCCAGCTCGACTTCTTTCGGCGGTGGTATGCATTTCAACACGCTCGGCCGCCGCGGCAGTCGTCTCACATCCGCCTCACCTCTCGTCGGCCGCGACCCGTTTGCTGGACAGGCCGGAGACCTGGAAAACTTCGACTCGGATATGGCCATGGGCGCTCTCACCGGGGAGGAAGACTTTGAGCTGTATGGACTTGCCGCACAAGTCGACACGGAGACTGCTGCGCAATCTCAGTGGCAGCGTGCTGCGCTTGGGGCCGAGAGTGCCAATTTCCTCGATTTCGTCCGCACTGCTATCGACGAGTCGGACGACAGTCCGCCACCTGGTCAGGATAGCCAGCAGCGCGCCGCCAGCATCGACTTCCAAGACCTTCTCCCGCCAGAGAGCAACAGCAATGTGGTCGCGGCCCAGGCTCTGCTGCACGTCCTGACGCTCGGAACGAAGAACCTACTCAAAATCCAGCAAGCCGGGGCGTTCGGACCCATCATCCTCAGCCACTAAACCCTTTTCTAATTTCCTTTTGCATTTGACGACCGCTCAATCTTGGAGGACTTTTTCTTTTCCAATGTTCAGGTGTGTACGACGACGGACGTGGAGGCAGAACTCAATTGCTTTCTCATTTACCTTATATTCTTAAGATACCCCAGCCCGGAACGGCCTTTGCTTGCGCCTGCCACACTACTCTGCTGCTATGGTGATGACTGCAATGTGTAATGTAGCTTTGAATGATCAATTCATGAAGTGTACCACGACTGCTCAATATCAGTATATCTGGTCCCCCCTGACAATGCGATTGCCTCTTCTTCCCTTGTTGTTGCTGTCTAGCTTCACTCCTCTCGGGCCCGACTCATCGCCCGAAATCAGACGCCTCGGCCTTGTTATGATGAATCACTGTCTATGTAGTCTTCTCCTGCCTGTCTCTCTCTCTCAAAAGGCCACTTCAAGAAGAGATAGATGGATCTTCTTCTGACCTACCTTACAAATCCCGGGCTTATCTACCTACATACATGGACGTCACTGTCATGCCCACTTCTCACGTCCCATACGTACCGTGACCCACAAGGAGAAAGGCATCCTCCAAGTTTGTTAATGACTGCGTGCGAATGTTGTCGAGAAATGGACATGGACATGGACATGTCCAGGACTTGGATGGATGGTGGGGTTGCCATTCCGGCCTTTATCGCTGTGCCACTCGTGTGTCCGGGGAGCTTTATTAGGGGGGGAATCATATATTGCACCCCAGCGTGCATCGAGACGATGCCACGCTTTTGGGGCAACATTCCGAATTCGGCGGATTGTCTTGGTGAAAATGATCATGTGGAAGGGTAAGGCAAGTCTGGCTTCCGCAAAGTGGTCAGGTAGTCATCGAAGAGACAATCACGCAGGAGCAAGTGTGGTAGTGAAGGAACTCGGGAGTTGCCCATGGGCAGCTTGCACCTTCTTGTTGCACTCGCGTGGGGCATGTAGACCAGATGCGTTGGCTGCAGATGGAGGGAGCGGCTCAAAGACTACGCGCACGTGAGCTGTGCCATTCTACCTGTATCTCTATAAATCATGAAATCGCCCACCATGGGCACCATCTCCTTCTTCTGAAGAGCGAATTCTTCAGGAGACGGTCAAAGCGCTCACTGCTCCATTGCTCAAGACCTCGAATGTCAGGCCTGGGAGGTGGTACAGCTTGCTGTTATCAATGTGTTCGCTCCCTCCGCCCTCTACCAAGTCCTGGTCTGCATCCGGCAGGAAGAAGCTACTGTCACTCGGGTTGGCACCCCACGTCCGGTTGACGACCTTGCCTCTGCCCATCTCTGATTCGGGCCAGACACCATGGAAAGCTTGCATGAGGTCGGGCTTGATATCGTCAAAGGAATGCTCCGAAGACAGATCCGAACTGGCGCCACGAAGTTTCAGGGTCCATCGTAACCTCCGATGCCTGTTGAAGGCGTAGCTGCCAGGAACATTGCCATGAATAATGACCTTGAGTACGACCAGATGCGGGCTCGCTGAAAGCGGAGTCAATGGGACACCTTGGTCTTCGATCGATATCTGCTCATTCGGCGGCCCGACCAGAATGTCCATCCCATGCCCAAAATAAGACCAGAACTTCTCTCGCCCAGCCCTTTCGGCAGGCTCGTCGTCAGCATCTCCAGAATCGAAGTCGGTATCGAACGTATCCGTCCCTGTCGAAGAGTAGCTGGATGGCGGCGTAGCATGCGCTCGCCCATTCGACAGTGAGCGTGAATTGTCCCTTGGTCTGCCGTGAGTGGATTCCTCCGACAGAGTCTGGGAGTCTCGTTTGTGTATTGTATCCGGTGAACCAAGCTCGGTGAGCAGGTCTTGAGGCGAGCTTTGTCCGAGAGCGATAAAAATGGGTGGTGCGGGCGAGCGACGGACGAGAGTAAGCTGTCCTGGATGCTCGAGCAGCGCAGCTTCGATTTCCGAGGGCAGTGCGTCGCGTGGCTGCGACGCTATCGCAGGGCTCCTGTGCGCAGGGGACTGTTTGACGAATAGTGTGTTTCTTGCCTCTGGCCAGCTGTTCCCGTCGAAAATGGCCATGTGAGAAGCCGGTGAGGCAGCATGAGAGCCAAGGAGAGAGACGTGATCCTTCTCCGGCGCCCAAGCGGAATGCTGCAAAGCAAAGTTGAACGCTACCCCTGGCCATGACAGCACATATGTCCCTGTACGCCCAGTCTGAGGAGGAATATATTCTCCGGGAAATGACGCGCCAAAGAGCTGATATATCCTCTTGAAAGAAGCGCCCTCTTCCTGTTTCTTGACCAGCTCGCTTCCCTTGTAGGCCAACTTCGCTTTTCCAAAGTCCATTACCTCGATTAGTCGCAGCCTTTGATCAGGGCCATCGAATCGGAGTCGGATGCCATTCTGAGGAAGAGAGACAACGACCGGCGTGGCTAGAGGGCGGGTCTGTGAATAGCTGAGATCGATTGTTGAGTATTGCGATTTATCCTGCTTCACGGCGGTGAGAACGTGTTGCAAAGACGAACCGAGAACTGCAGCTATCCGTCAGTATCGCTTGGTGGGACTCGTCTGGGACTCTTCTGGGACTCTGAAGTAGGAATACACACCTAAGAAGCCCAAAGAGTGCCCCGGTACTACTGCGAGCGGTTCCGACGCCATGGTATAAGGTACAGATAAGGTGACGGCTGGGTGGAGCAGTGGTTCGCGGCTCGTGAAGTAAGTCTAGATAGACGACCTACAGAAGTAGAAAGCGAAGCCGTCCATTCATGATATGGTGTGCAGTGCTCTTGCGTCCACATGCCTGCTGGACCTGGTCATGTGGGCGACTCCATCACGACGCAACCTGGCGGACGGCAAGTCTGTTTGGTTTGTTTCGACGCGCTCGGTCTGGGCAAGCAGTGTATCTCAAATGCGCTCCAATAGCGACTCCTGCTTGATCTCAGTTAGCAAGATGCCACGACTTGTACTTACTGTCCCGCCTTCTGTGCTCGAGAGTTGGAGGGGCATTTGTCCGAAGAGGGCGTCGCGTGTTCGGCTTTCGGCTGTCGTTGTCCCTCACGACCGGCACGGTCCGCGTACATGTTTCCCCCCGGACACTTGCTTCGAGGCATTCCTTGCACGTCGCGTTACGCCTCTGCATCACACACTCTGCATAGAATACCGTCCATGGTCATGGCAGCTCCCCCATCTTCGCGAGGTGGCAGCCAGACGCGCAGAGTGCCCACCATGCGACCGAACGTCGGGCGACCAGCCCCAAACAGAGCGCAAACCGCAACACCTACCCTCACCGGCAGAGTCTCACCCGCAGAGAGCGTGGCATCGTCGAAAAATAGGACGCCGAAGAGAAAAGCCCCGCAAGAGATGGTAGAGGCTCTGACCGAAGAGACCAATATCAACGTCGTCGTACGATGTCGTGGACGGAGCGATCGCGAAGTCAAGGAAAACTCGGGTGTTGTCGTCTCGACGGATGGCATCAAGGGCAAGAAGGTGGAATTGTTGATGGGACCCAGCGCGCTGAGCAACAAGACATATCAGTTCGACAAGGTCTTCTCGTCGGCTGCAGATCAGGGAATGATCTTTGAGGAAGTCGTTTCACCGATTTTGGACGAGGTAAGTGATGAGATGTAAATTGATCAAATCCATACTGACCGAGTCAGGTTCTCAACGGCTTCAATTGCACCATCTTTGCCTATGGACAGACGGGTACAGGAAAGACGTACACGATGTCTGGCGACATTGCAGACATTGTGCCGGTTCCTGAAGCCGCAGGAATTGTTCCAAGAGTACTACACACCCTGTTCGCCCGACTCGGAGAGGACGGCCAAGATAAGGCTGAGCATAGTGTCAAGTGCTCCTTCATTGAATTGTACAACGAGGAGTTGCGAGACCTTCTTGCTGCTGACGATAATACAAAATTGAAGATCTATGACGAAGCGAATAAAAATGGCCGAACCACCACTCTTGTTCAGGGAATGGAGGAGAGCCACATCAAGACTGCTTCCAAGGGCATCCAGCTGCTGCGAAATGGAAGCCATAGACGACAAGTTGCTGCGACGAAGTGCAACGACCTTTCTTCCCGCTCACACACTGTCTTCACCATCACGGTGTACATGAAGCGCACTTCGGACACTGGTGAAGACTACGTCTCAGCGGGCAAGCTGAATCTTGTGGACTTGGCTGGATCTGAGAATATACAACGCTCCGGAGCAGAAAACAAGCGCGCTGCCGAAGCAGGCCTAATCAACAAGTCGCTTCTCACACTTGGCCGCGTGATCAATGCCCTTGTCGACCGAGGCAGTCACATTCCGTATCGAGAATCGAAGTTGACACGTCTGCTCCAGGACTCGCTCGGAGGACGGACAAAGACCTGCATCATCGCTACACTTTCTCCGGCAAAGAGTAATCTGGAAGAGACAATCAGCACCCTAGACTACGCGTTCCGAGCGAAGAATATCCGCAACAAGCCTCAAATCAACCAGATGGTGTCCAAGAAGACTCTCCTGAAAGAGTTCACCTCGGAGATCGAGAAGCTCAAGTCAGAGCTGATCGCAACGAGGCAGCGCAACGGTGTGTATCTCACTTCGGAGACTTACGAGGAGATTACCACTGAGTCGGAGTCACGCCGGATCTTGAGTGAAGAACAGCGCGACAAAATTGCAACCATGGAATCGAACCTGCGGAACAAGGTCCAGGAGCTCTTCGTTCTGACCAGTAACTTTCATTCGCTCAAAAAGGACACTGAGAGCACTCGTGCCCAACTCGAGGGTACCCAGAGCGTTCTGGGCAAGACTGAATTGGTCCTTGAGCACACTAAGCGAGCGTTGGCGGAAGAGACTCATCTTCGCCAGGCCCACGAGGAGACTGAAGAAAAACTAGCTGAGCTCGGCGGAGATCTTCTGGGTACATTGGAGACGACAACTAACCACGTAGACAAATTACATTCGAAGCTCCGAAGGCGGTCAGACTTGCAAGACACAAACAGAATGCGCTGGGCAGATTCCCAGGCTCAAGTGACCAACACCACCGGGACCGTGGAGGACCGCATCGAGGCTTTGCGAGCTCAGCAAGAGGGATTGCTCTCCGCTCTCTCAGGCCGCATGCAATCGTTTGTTGCAGACGAGTTGAACGAGCTCAAGACTTCTCAGGATTTCTTGAAGCTTAAGGCGGCGGCGTTCGAGGCTTCAGAATCAGAGGTCAATCAGCAAACCAGCAAAGCAAGAGATGACATGAACCAAGTGCTGCAAGAAATCGGTGCGCTGCGCGAAGATATCAAGCACAAGGTAGGCGCCGGGCTGAACGACCTGTCTGGTGCCGCTCAACGGATTAGTGCTGGCATCGCCACGGAACTCGATGCTTTCCATGTGCAGCTACAGGACTCCTACGTCTCGCTTGGCCGCGACTTCAAGACCTTGTTCGAGGACCTCATTCGTCGCTTGAACGAGCAACAAGCCGAGGCACAGAGACTCCGCCAGGAGATTGCAGAAGCAAACAACACTTTCGTCGAAGCTGGCCAGTCGTCGCAGGCGCGGCTTAGAGAGGCAGTAGACAAGGAGCGGGAGATTGCTACCAAGGAGCGTGAGACCCTAATTACGCAAATTACTTCCCTTGTAAACAACTCTGCTGCTGCCCAGGAATCTCGTATGGCCGGATACCTTGAGAGCGCCAACAAGCGCATTAAGACTTCTGAAGACGAGTATCGAGTCGCTCAGCAGACGTACGGGGATGGCATGGACTGCTGGGCCGCCAATGGCCAAGCTCTCGTCGACTCATCTATCAGAGCTCGAGAGACAATTAAGAATAAGCTCAAGGCTGACTGGACCAACGCGAATGAGAGGTCCCTTAAGATCACCGAAACGACGAACGCTGTGCACGGGGAGACTGTGCGAATTGTCGATGGACAGATGGCTCAGATGGATAACCAGTTGGTTGCGCTGGACGAGATCGTCTCCAGAGTCCGTGCCGAGAACGAAGGACACCACGCCGCGCACACTAGCAGTATCGGGCAACTGGCGAAGAACGTCCAGGAGAGTTACCGCAACATCGGAGACCACTTCGAGACTTCATACAGCCGCACGCAAGCACTGGACGTTGACATGCAAGAACGCACCGATGCCATCAGTCAAACTCTGCCAAGCATGGAGGTGGACAGTCATATTCGACAGCCTCTACGCATCCTGCGCGAAGAGTTGGGTGCGTCTCAGATTGTGGAATATGCCGTCACCGGCGAGACACCAGCGAGGATGCAGTACACATATCCCACCGTCTTGCCTAGAACTGAGAACCACCAGACGCTCTTAGATCGTATGCGCGGGACCGTGAAGCAGGAACCTTCGACCTCGCCAGCGAAGTCGCCTAAGAAGCGATCAGCAGCGAAGTCGTCGCCTTCCAAGTCGAGGAGCAGCCCGACGAAAGCTCACTCGAGCCCGACTAAGACCAATGTCTTCACGGACATGCCTCCGGCACTGATCTTGACTGCACCCGAGTCTACTCCAGTCACCCGTCCAGCAACCGCAAGTAGTCAGAACAGCAGTCTACGCGAGCTCGATGTTAACGTGACTACAACAGGGCTTGCAACTGTCGCCACTAGCGAGCAGGGTGTTGAGAAGGGACCCGAAAGCTGCAAGGTGCCCGCTCCGTCCTTGAAGCGACAGAGAACTGACCCGCTGCCATCATCGCAGGTCGATAGCAAGTTGCCGATGAAGCGTAGCACGCGAATGACCGTGGGAGGTCTTGTTGCGGAAGCCCAAGAGAAGGAGAACATCAACCTGAGCTCTAGCGTTGGACCTGCTCCCGGCCGCCGGTTGCGAAGTCGAGGAAGTGACTGAGAAATGGTCAGAGTCAGTGACTGCTTTATGTCCTGAAGCGTTGCATGTGAAAGCGAGGGCAAGGCGAGGGATGGCTTTGTGCATGGTTGGGCGATAGGACAGGGAGAAGGTCTCTCGTAGCCTACTATTGAATTGTTGTTTCTGTACAGCATCTGGTCCCATCTCCTCCGTCAACGTCCCATGTCGTGCGTTTCACGGATGTTCATGATAGATGTAGATTAGCTGTAGGTTTGGCAGATCAGGGACACCTCAGGTAATCTCCTTTTGCCTGAATGGTTTGACATGGGCACCTCAGACCCTCGTACGATCCCGCCCCGCAAACTTCACAGACCTTAAACTCAATTCCGCGCTCCAACAACTGCATTCGATACAATCAGCCGCCAGCTTCTCTCTTTTGACCTCGACGGGTGCAAATAGACACAGCTCGTTCCCTCACTCTCAACAGTCGACTCGATGAACAACTCGTAGCTGTTGCGCGGCTTCATCTCCGGCACTCTCCGAATCCCGACACCGTCTGTCAAGTTCTTCCCCGACCCACTTTCTCGCGCGCACTCCTCAGTTGCCGCCCTTCAAAATGCCTTCGATCTCCAGCATCGCGTACTACCTCGTCCACATCTCCGAACTACGCGCGATCATTCAATGGTAAGCAGTCATGATGATCAGCCATTCTTCCGAGCCAGGTGCTGACTAGCGTCAGGAAAACATGGCACAATCCTGTCCACGAGCGCGACGAGAGCAAAGAGGGACCAGACCTCAAGGAGTGCTTCCGCTTCCTCAACATGACCTCGCGGTCATTCTCGGCTGTCATTCAAGAACTGCATCCTGAGCTGCTGGTGCCAGTATGTCTCTTCTACCTCATACTACGCGGCCTGGACACCATCGAAGACGATATGACCATCAGCGTTCCCACCAAAGAGCCCCTGCTCAGGAATTTCCACCAACACATCGAGGACGAGAGCTGGACATTCGATGGCAATGGACCTGATGAGAAGGACAGAGAGCTGCTGGTCAAATTTGACTGTGTAGGCAGGGAGTTCAATAAGATCAAAGAGGAGTATAGGATCATCATCAAGGACATCACAAAACGCATGGGCAACGGCATGGCAGACTACGTGAAGAATGCAGATCATAATGCCAACGGCGTCAAGACCATCAAGGATTACGAGCTGTACTGCCACTATGTCGCAGGTCTGGTCGGCGAGGGTCTGACACGGTTGTTTGTTGAGGCGAAGCTAGCAAACCCGGCACTCTTGCAGAGACCTGAGCTTATGGAGTCCATGGGTCAATTCCTGCAACAGACGAACATCATTCGAGACATTCGGGAAGACCACGAGGACAAGCGATATTTCTGGCCGAAGGAGGTTTGGTCCAAGTACGTGACCAAATTTAGCGACTTGTTCCTGCCTGAGAACCGGGAGAAGGCACTACAATGTAGCAGCGAGATGGTGCTCATTGCATTGAACCGAGCAGACGAATGCCTGTTCTACATGGCTGGAGTCAAGGAACAGTCCGTCTTCAACTTTGTTGCCATACCACAATCGATGGCTATTGCAACGCTGGAGCTTTGCTTCCAGAATCCGGCAATGTTTGAGCGCAATATCAAGATCACCAAGGGCTCAGCATGCCAATTGATGACCGAGTCCACACAGAACTTGCAGATGGTCTACGATGTGTTCAGAAGATACGCGAGGAAGATCCACAAGAAGAACAAGCCCAGCGACCCGCATTTCCTGGACATCAGCGTGGCTTGCGGCAAGATCGAAAGATTTATCGAAGGCATCTTTCCATCGCAGACACCACGAACACTACCCCCTGGCGCCGAGCAGACCGTTGCAGTGGATTCAGAAGCAGAGGCTAAGAGGAAGGCTGAGGAGGCGGAGGCGAAGAAAGATATGATGTACATCGCTCTGGCCATCTTTCTAACACTGGGTATAATCACTGCGTGCATGGTAAGTGCTCAGTTTCCCCTTGAATCGGCACCGATTTCGACTGACACGTCGCGATAGCTTGGCGCGGCCTGGTTCTTTGGCGCTCGCTTCGACCTCGCTTTCGCCGAGCTGAGGAAGGGCAACCTATCTCCACCCAAGAGCTCAGGGGCTTTGGAGAGCACGGCAAGCCAATACGAAGGCCACGGCGAGCTGTGAGCCGTCGTTCCATGTAACATTAGTATGTATCTTATGCGTTCGTCGGATAATGCGCCGACAGTAGCCGCTCGACTATAATCACTGATTACTGTAGGCTGGCGCTTTGAGCTGGCGCTGCTGCGCTGGGGCGTATTGAAGCCACCAGCTACCTACCTGCATGCAGCTTGCAGCAACGCGATCAGGCGGATCCTGCAGCTCACCTTTCCTTTCTCAGCTTTCAAGCTTCCTATCTTGATTGGGAGAGGAGAAGCTCTCCTCCCAATCATCACAGCACGGATGTCAAATTGCAATGCAGCCCATTCACCTCAATGGCTGCCGTTGCGCCGCGTTTTAAGAAGTGCGAAAATAATCCACAAGACTGCCTCACTCCCGAAAGGTTTTGAGGCCGCCTGAGCTTTGCCTCGTTTCATTTGATGGAGGTGAATGCTGTTTGGGCAGAAGTGCAGACAGACTAGGAAGATGGAGCAGGTCCCGTTTGCGGGCTGCGTTCCTATAGCTCGAAAAGAAGCGAAGCGAAGGATTGTGGAACCTCAGGCTCTCCCCCTGCCGCTCTGCGAACTGTTTGGGCAGCGGGGATGGATGGTACATCATTGGGAGCCTCATCAATGCTGCCGTTCCCGGGAGATCTACCGGGGCGTGTGGGCGAAGGAGTCGTGTTGCCTTTCGGCGGCTTTGCTGGCGAGGCTTTCGTTTCTGCCTTGTTGCGGGCTTGCTCGACAGGTATTTAAATTTTCATTATAGCCCTTTCTTCTCCTTCATCTTCGAAGATAGAAAAAGAAGGACCGAGTTTTACTTCGTTTCTTTCCATTCAAGTCCATCAAGGAAAGAAAGACGACATCATGGCGCAAGCCTCATTCGAATATTCCCGAAGCGGAACGCTTCCGGATCAATCTAGGTATTCATATACCTATTCTGCGTCGGTCTGGCGGCCTACTCCAGAAGATCTTGATCTAGGCAAGGCCATTGAGGAATTCGCTTCGTTGGGATTCGCGCCACCACCACCTCCTATCGCTACAAGCTCGCATCGTGATGGAAACAGCAGCATCAATCGCCACGACGCCAAGAGTCGAATCGCAAGCAGCGGTCGTGTCCAGGACCCGATATTGCCCGGTAGCTACTCCGGCAGATACAGCACGGCACCCTCCGCAGCAGCAGCGCCAGCAGCATCATCATCATCATCATCCAGAAGACCAGACCGCCCCGCTGCAGTCGTCGCTCCTCGCACCATCGCCATCGCCGCCGCCGCAGCACCACCCCCCTTACCTTCCGAACTCGAAAGGAGACCTCCTCCCAGGCGCTGCTCGCGCACCTCACCGCACGCATCCTCCGCCCGCGCTCCGCTGATGAACGAGGACAGAGCCCTGGTTCCCTACGGCGGCGCCAGGGAATACGGGACGACGACGGATGATGCCATGACGCTTGGACCGGAGGATTCCGTTTCGCAGGTTTCGAGATCGAGGCCGAGGAGGCGCGAAGGGTCTGTGGTGTCCGGGCAGACGATTCGGTTTGGGGGGGAGAAGAAGAGGGAAGGGGGCGCGGAGCCGGAGCCGGAGGTGTATGCGGTTGATGGGAAGGGGGATGCGATTTGTTTGACGAGGGATGTTACGCCTTGGTGATGATGATACCTTTTTGGGTGTTAGAGGCGATGCTGCGCACGGCGATTTTGGGATCACTGGATGGGTACATTATCCGCTTTTGAGATCACTGGATGAGTACATTATCATGATTGCTGGAGAGATCCTAGACACGGTCCAGGGAAGCCGTCATGTAGGTCCAAGAGACCTAAAGAGTCAATCAGCACGCAAGTATGAAATGAAGTGAGGTGATTCATGAGATCAAAGCTCTCGTTTCTTCTCCTTCTGCCAGAGGCATCGAACAATTGGTACTCTGCCAGGCGCGCCCGGCGCGGTCTGCAAACTTCGGTCTAATTTCCCAACACGTGTCTGATGCTGAGTCTCAAACGTGCCATTCGCCAATAACGCCATATGGGTATCTTCGCATTTTCCATCCATTCAAAAGTTTCCGTCGTCCCAATCGTGTCTTCAATTCAGTCGTCCTGGGATGCGAATTAGTCGAGTCCGACGCAGATGAGTCATAGCCTCCCTTACCTTGGACGAGTTCGTGTGTGCGTGAGTACTGTACAGGGCTCCCATCCGTGAGCCAGACAGGTGCGTAGTAGTGTACATGATTCGATGCTTGTAATCAGGTCCGCGCTTCAGGGTGGTGTGGCGAACGTCGTCGAGTTGAGGACTCAGCGGGTGCGACTGCTATCAGAGCTGCCGCCGCGGTCGTTGCGATGAGCACCGACCTGCTGCTGGGCGGAACCCGAAGCGACAGAGGATGGAGTGCGCGGGTTGCCGCCGCCGCCGCCGCCGCCGCCGCCATTGTTGCCGGCAGCGGGCGTCGAGGCGGCCTTCTCGCGGAAGACCTGGCGACACATTGGGCAGCGGCCCTGCGACGCCTCCGATCCGAGCCAGTCGGCGATGCAGTGGAGGTGGAAGCAGTGGGTGCAAGCACCGATGACTGCCAAGCATTAGCATGTGATGATCGACACCAAGATGGAGATCAAGTTGATGGACTTACGGATGGGGCAATCGTCGCCGGGGTACTTGCACTTGGAGCAAGTGCCCTCGAAGTCCACGCGACAGATACCACAGACGTTGTCGTGGCCCTCCGGAAGGTTCCACTTCCACTCGGCAACAGCTTGGTAGGAGTTGATAGTGAGCTTCATTGTGAGCTGGATGGTGATGCCTTAGGATATGTTTGTCAGTTGTCTGTGCACGATACAGATGGCTCGAGCAAGTGTCCGTGCAGTGGTGGCGAGGCAATCGGCTGGCTGGCTCGTCGATGTTTTCAGGTTGGTTGTCGTGGTGGGTGGAAAGGTGGAAAGGTGGAAAGGTGGAAAGGGCGGCCAGGTCGAGTTCAAAAGAAACGCGTCCGAGCAAAGCGCGTCCGAGCTTCGGGCTGTCCCGAATTCCGTCATCTTAGGGCTCGGCGGCGAGAGCCGAGCGCCGAATACAGCCAGCCCACAGGGGTTCGCAAATTAGGATAGATTGACGCTAGTTGCTTGGCATACCAAACCTCCCTACTAACACCACTTTTAAAGACTCTATATTACTACTACTATGCCTCCTATACTTAGAAATTATTTAGAAAGGTTAAAGAGACTAGGGCAATTTAAGACACTACGTAGAACCCGTTTTTTTAACTATTAGGAGCATGTAGAGACTAATAC